CTCCTCGACTCCCGGTTGGCTGCCGTTGAAGGTGCTCGGCACGGAGTGCTTCCTGCTCGGATCTTCCTCGAAGAACCACCACCTCTCGTCGCCGGTCAACTTCCTTCACTCCGGTTTCTGGAACGTTCGACGTCTGGCGTCGACGAGCCGTGGGAACGCACCTCCCGGGTATGTACCTTCAACGCTGGGCTGACACGCCATCATTATATTTGGCCCGTGTATTAATGCCGCCGCTTCCGATGGTTTCGTTTGCATTCAGCGGAGCGCAAGTGCACCTTCCACCAGTGTTGAAGATTGGGCGAGTTGGTTCGTCGTACTTGAACTGGTATAGCGTATTACGGGGAAGAAGACGGTGATATCGTCTTCTTGTTCCTCTTGTGTCGGTCTGCTCGGCCGTTTCTTCTTCCCCGTAATGCGCTATACCAGTTCAAGCACCTTCCACCCTTGCAGCCGGACTCGGCTCTTGTCTCCAGAAAGGTGCCACCACTAAGCCCCTTGGCGACGTGGATCTTCGCGTCCTTTATGACCGACAGACAGCCGCCGTTCCACCAATTCAGTGACACCGCTTCCGTCATGGCATGAACTGACCGTCAGTGGGGAGGGTAACAATATGAAGGTACCAAGTTCGAATCCAACAATGGGTGTCGTATTGTGCAACGATTTAAAACTGTGCCGCCCGCTTCCCATCAGGCTTCAGCCCGGCATATGAAACAGCGATATCACCGTCAGGCTTCATTCGACCAGAAGTGCACCTCATGGCACCCGTAATCAGCAAAAAATCTGAGCTCACATCACCAGTGTTGAAACACGTATCCCTGATGCCTTTGAACGAGAAGTATACGCCCATTACGTACATATTTGTACTGTCTGATCAACCACTCTGCAGTTTTCGTCTGGCGCAATGTTCATCCCAGCGAAAGATATTACTTTCAGTTTGAAGACAGGCCACCGAACGTCATCGACGACTGCAGAACTTGCTGCTCTTCGTGCTACACTTCATGTAGTAAACCGCGAACAGCCTTAACGTCGGTCAGCCTTACGTTATTAGAAAGGAGCTCTGCAATCTTTACAATCATCTCTGTGGCACGGACCATACAAACAGCTCGTTTTTCAGGTTTGGTGTCAGCTTCATACTGCGTTTGAAAAAGAACACCGTGTCACATTTCAGTAGCTGCCAAGTCAGTGCGGCGTGGTAGGCAATGAACACGCTCACAATGCAGCTTGATCAGCGTTTCAAGACGACATGCCTGGAACAATACCGCTATCAAGTACCGACGTTGCTGGCCAACTTCGAGTGGCCGCTCTGAAAATCCCCCTCTCCATTGAAAATACAGCTATACTGCGCAATAAACTCCACAACATCCCAAACACCTCATGTCATAAACGGTCAAATATAGAGAGGCATAATTTCGGCGTAGTACAGTGGGCGTCTCTACACACGCCTGCTGGACTACGCCGAAATGATGTCATCCTTCTTTCATTTTGTATTAAAATGGCTGGAGACCCCTTCTGTTACAACTGTGGTAGCAAGGGGACACTACTGCACATCTTCTGCGACTATCCTCGCTACAATGCACCGAGAAAATCAGTTGCAGTCGCGGTAGCTCGCATACATCGCTGACCGAAGACGGCGGAAACCATTATGGATTGTCGCCCAGAGAGGTCACCGCAAGTGAAGACGACGAAAGGAGTCCTCAGCTTTTTGAAAACAACGGGCTTGGACCGGTGGTTATAGATTAATAGTGTTGAGATTACAGTGACGTGCGACTTTGAGTGCGCGTGCTCTCCTCTCTCTTCCTCCATCTTTCAATTTGCCTTTTCCCGTTCCCCAGTGTAGGGTAGCATACCGGTCGTTCTGGACTGGTTAACATCCCTGCCTTCTCATTTTCTCCTGTTCCTTCCTTTGTTAATAAGCTGTAGTGGGCACCCTCCAGTCATCACCATAAATACGTGCGTTCCGCTCATCACGTCTGGCAGCATTGTGCAATTTCCCTACAGTACCACATTTTCACTGCTGTTCTAATTCTGATATGTGAAACGAAGAAAACATAAATAAAAGAAAATAACATTAAATGACCTAAAGCACTCGGCACATCCACGCAGGCCCCCAATATCAACATACCAAATATAGAAGCAAATATATTGCATTATAAAAGGATCGCACAGTGCTGCCAAACCGGATGTGCGCACCTGTCAATCGTGACGAGACTGATGACTGGACGGAACACACTATAGCATTGCTAATGCTTGGGCCACGCTTCCCGCTGTTCGCGTTTCGTTTGACGCCCATAGCACATATTTTGCTGTAGATAACGTTCGCCCAAGGAAGCTGTATAAGAAGACGCAGGAATGCACCGACACACCAGCCTTCAACAGTATACGTGTGGTGAAATCAGCAGCGCGTGCGCGGCACGCACGAACCCGAAGGAAGATTCACAGCTGCGTTTTACTGCTGCGTCGTCGCCACACGAAAGATCCAATACAGGCAGCCAAGGCGGCGGTTTCTTATCCCCCACGTTAAGCTCGCCGAAACCGCGTGTGCATGCCGCTGCGCTGATTGCGATGACCCTGGCCAGAGTCGTAAACGAGTGACGACCTGCTTACAGATTGCAACTCGCCGCCGCACGCAATCTTCGGGGGCAAACTGAAACCGGCCGGCCTGCTCTTGTTTTTAGCTTTTAGTTTTACGAAATCGGTCTAAAACCGGCCCGCCTAGGCCGACTCACCTATACACTACCGCAGTACACGATAACGAGTAGCCACAAGAGGCAGCTCTTTATCGAAGACAGATTGTGTGTCACGTTGAATACAAGCACTCCCAAACAAAGTCGCTTTTGTGCGTTTGAATCGCCTGATCGCATTCTTTTTATTTTTATTTTGTTTATTTTAGGTGGCGGGGGAGAGGATATGTAGCAATATACTCAGAAATGTTCTGGTCGCAGGTGATTCACGTTTCCCGCCCGTGTGCTTCTCCCCTCTGTTAACCTTAAGTAAACAACAAGGACTATATATGATTTACTCAGACACTTTTATTCACGGCACTTCTAGCAACACGTTACCGAGTTCAATTAAAAACGATTATCCAAAGTAAGCGTTACGTTTGTTACATTACTTGTATCACCCATTTTGTATTCTCACAAGTTTGTTTATTGCAACAATTTTCTTGATGTTTGCATATATTGTTCATTGTATTGTTCCCACCTTCCTGGTCTTTAGTTACCACTGCATTTTCTTAATAAATAAAATAGAATGAAGCGTTACGTGGTTTGCCTTACACAACACATAACTGAAGGTCCCGCCGTGGTGGTCCTGTGGCTAAAGTATTCGGTGGCTGACCCGCAGGGCGCGGGATGCGAGTCCCGGCTGCGGCTGCTGCATTTTAGATGGAGGCGAAATTCTGTAGGCCCGTTTGTTCAAATTTGGACGCACGTTGAAGAACCATAGGTGGTCTAAAATTTCGGAGTCCTCCACTACGATGTCTTTCATAATCATATGGTGGTTTCGGGAAGTTTAACCCCACATATAAATGAATACTTAACTGAAACAGCAGCTCAAAGGTTTCCTTCACTCAAGATGGCTCGAAGGCGAAAGCAGCATGAGCCATGGCTTCACGTGCTGAGCACACGGTCTTGCTTTTCTTCTCTTGAGGTCACGAGCATAGAGTTAGCTAAAATTATCTAGAGGAGAGTCTGGCGCTGCGATCGTGCGCGACCATAGAAATAATGGGTAGTACACGGACTTCTATAATCTTTGTACCTAGCTGCGGGCCTCGAATCGCACTTGTGGCTTCGTTTATTTCTGTGTTTCGGTTTCGTTTGCAGGCAAGAATGAACCCCTTTGAGCATCGTGACGCAATTTCAGATGGTAAGCCTAAGAGGTTAAGAGTGAAGTACGATTGCTGAACATTTGGTGATTTTTGTTTTGTAATAAAGCAGCTGCGAGCCACGTGAAGCCGACCGGAGCCGAAAGTACGAAGATTAGACAAATCCGCGCACTTCCCATCATTCCCAGTCTCGCCGAAGCGCTGCGCATTTGCTCCCATAGACACTAGCGCCAGAGTTCCCTTCAGTGTATTGACAGGGAACTCTGTGGTTTCGAGCTGTCCGGTTTAGTTCGCCGCCCAAAGGAGAGCGCTAGGACGGCAACGCCACATGACACTCAGCCAAAGTTTGTCACGTCACGACAACGTCATCACGTGATTATGATTTTTCGCATCGCTCATTCCCCGCGACGGTCAAGTTTACCGTTTGATATGAGGTATCGAAAGCCTTTAAAAGAATTTTCAACCACAGTTAACCTGTCGTAATGATGGTCTAATAAAGATAATTTATTAATTTGCACTCGACACGTATTGCGTTTGCGTTAGCAACATATAAAACTCAGAAGCAATATAAAATAACACCAACGGAGTTTTTTCACAAAGACAACCAGTTCAGTTGGACGAATGTCTTCTATCATCATCATTTATTTATTGCCAATGAAACTAGAATAAAGCCAGTTCAGCAGCCTGTAAAATGGCAAATACTATGCACAATTTTGTCAAATAGTAAATTTTTATAATCACGATTTTCTCGATATACATTAGAGTGTTTTAACGATACGGAACTAACTGTTCGTTTAGTTTCGCAATACGAGCCACTGACTGCAGTGACAGGGGCACATTGAGTTTCTTGCTCCGTTCTCCGCATGTCTAGTTTTTACAACTGCGTTCAAACGATTTAAAATGACTCTAATAAACCACTAAGTAGCATTAAAAAGCGACAGAACCTGGCCTCTATTAGGCTTGATACACGCGGAATAGAGCTCCTCGAGGACAGTACCGAAAGTAATGTAGATGAGCCTAGCAAGTCGACAGCAGACACCGAGTTTAGTGATTCGTGTGAATATTTTGCAAAGGCAAAGTGAGTAAAACAGCTCGCTTGTTGCAACTGCTGCTGCCAAAGCGATTCAGTGCATGTGTCTCTATAAAAATGAAGCTCCGCTAAATCTTTTGGACTCACCATTGAAATGCAGGTCACTTCCGTCTGCGCGCTCCTCTTCTGCAAAAAGAAAAAGAACATAGAAATAAACAGGTATAGACTTTTGAAACACCAGCACAACATTGTAACAAGAAAACTTGTACGAACTAGAAGCCCATGAGTCACACCAGAGCCATCTTTCTTATCACGGGTTAGAAACTCACTGGTTAATTTATGCATTCGCCAAATACCCCTGTCACTCGTGCCAACTGAAATGCACTCGCAGCGAGTGCACTGCGATCACAAAGTGTCACTTTCGCAGCGCGCTGCTACACGAGAAAGCGAAGAGTATTTTCAAAATTATGACAATGGCAATTAGTGGATTAGTAGCGCAACAAGTATTTCTTATTTTCGAGCTCATGTCAGCACCGGAACGCGTTGTCTTCGTGGTAATAGCGTCTGTGTGACAGGCCATCACGAATAACTAGAAAACGACAGACCTACACATCTGCGAGTGTGCAAGGAAGTAAACAAAGCCACCCATAATGAAACGAAGAATCACATTGTCGTCATGGTACGTTAAACCTCAACAAGTAATATTATCATTATTATGAGCATTATTGGCACTACTACTACTACTACTACTACTACTACTACTACTACTACTACTACTACCACTACTACTACTACTACTTTAGCGACACGGCTCTTCGTTCATCTATAGATCTCGTTTGACGTGATAACGCTCAAAATTAAGTGGTCAATGCAGGCCTAAAACAAAGCTCCCACTGCTCAAAGCAGGTTATAACAAACGAAAAATGTATCTACAATGCAATTAAATGAAGTGACCTGAGTTTGATCGCAATAATCACCTTTTGCTAAAACATATCGTACACATGCATGCGGCTGACATAGGCGCAGCGCCATATAGAAGGCGCCGCCATCTCGCCAACCACTCAATTGATTGCTCCTCCTGCCACTGTTACTAACTCGTGCGGGGCACAGCGCCACTAGCAAAGCCACATGAATCACATGGTGCCCGTGCTACGTACTCCATCAGGCTTCACCGTAGCGGAGCTGCATCAGCGCAGAATCTGTTTTACTACTACTACTACTACTACTACTACTACTACTACTACTACTACTACTACTACTACTACTACTGCCATAATATGATTGACTATCTTGTTTGGTTTGTTGCTTTGGAGAATTCGTGATGTATATAACTAGGCTGTGTAGCGTGTTTGTCAAGCTTTGGGTAGAAACATTCACTTATCTATTGTTTCAGCCCCCTGCAGTGCAGTATACCTATTATCTTTTTTTCCTTCTTTCGCTATGCTTTCTATTCTTTACTTTCGTTGGGACACATCATATATAAATGGCTAATGTTCACTTGCTTAACACTGCTTCTTCAAACTGCTGTATATTCTCGTCTCTTTCTCTATCTCCTAGCAGTTTAATTTGCAGTTTAAAAGTTGTATTTCCCGACAGAATTAGCATACAGAGTCCCCGACTTGTTTTTAACGATGTGACAGAAGGCTCCGGCTGCATATTCTTGGAACAGTCTGCGTGAACAATTGAAGGTTACGCACCGGTAGACATTACCGCGATGATGTGCACCTTCTAATCGTCCATTACCACACCCAGGGGCACCGAAAAACGTCGCGGAGGTCTGGCCTGGGAGAAAGCAACCGGAATGCGCGCGCATAGTGAAGAAAACAGTGTGAACTTGCGCGGGGCCGGTAATTCAGCGCCCGGCCCATCGCGTGCCCAATTACCTTCGCGGTCTGCTGGGGCATGCCTGGTGCGTGATGGCGGGGCGCGATGAGCAAGGACGCCGGTAAACCTGTTTGGCCTCGACCGCGTCGTGGACTCTCCGTCCAAACAGCTCGACCACGCGCGGTCTTTCGCGAACTAACATCCCATCGAGTCGCTTCGAAACGTAATTAAACGTGGGACGAGCCAACGATAGATTGATCCTCGACACAACGACAGATCGGAATATTCCCAAAAGTGGGCCATGTGGGCCAAAACCGAAAATCAATAGTGTGACGCACATTGCAATGCTAAATGTCACGCTTGTAGATTTGATGCAGCGCTGCAAACGTGCGCATGGGGCGAACGGGGCGAGGGGAGTACCCCATCTAATCTTCCATAAGGCACATATTGGACGCCACAAAGGGCTTTTAGAGGTGACCACGGACCACTGATGTTGTATTGAAAGAAACCTTCACTTTGCACTTTTACCTCGAGAAGCCGAGGACCGACGGCGTGCATTGAAGAGAAGCACGCCGTATCTCTATTTTCATTCTTGCAAGCATTGCGGTGCTCAAGTTGTTAAGTGAGGATCATAATAGAGAGCCGGGCTGCCGCCAACTGTCTATAGTAAGTTGCATTCACATGCTCCCTTCGTCGCTTGGTGCAACGCAGGCAAAACCACAAATAGCATAACGAAGTGTAGTACAATGGATGCGCGCTCGAGCCAAAGAAAAATCTTCTTCATCTTGTTCGTTTACACCTTCATAGATATTAAGGGCGTACGCTACTACAACATCATTATCATCATCATCAGCCTGACTACGCATATTGCAGGGCAAAGGCCTATCCCTTGAACTACCAATAAATGCAGTCTTGCCCTTTCTGCTGCCATGTTATGCCTATAAACTTCTAAATCTCATTGACCCACTTCACCTTTTGTCCTCTTTTCGTGCGTTAACTTGCCTTCGTTGGGAATCCAGTCAGTCACCTTTAATCAGCAGCGGTCATCCCACCTACGTGCTACGTGGCTGGTTCATGTCCATTTTTGTCTTTTTGATTTCAGCTATGATATTCTTAACCCCAGTTTGTTGTCTGACCCAATCTGCTATCTTCTTGTCTCTTAAGGTTACACCTATCATTTTTCTTTCCATCGCTCACTGCGTCTTTCTCAATCTGGGCTGAACCTTCTCTGTGAACTTCCAGGTTTCTGCTCCATACGTAAGTACCTGCAAGATACAGCGGTTATATACCTTCTTTTTGGGCGTTAGTGGCAGATTATCATTTATGATTTGAGAATGCTTGCTGAGTTTCATTCACTCCATCCTTATTCCTCATGGTTCGGCTCCAAATTTAATACCTGTCCGAAGTATACATATTCGTTTACAACTTCCAGCCTCTCTCCACCTCTGGGAAAGGGCTGTTCTCTGCCAAGACTGTTTCACGTTACTTCAGTTTTGTCCATAATAATTTTCAGAGCTAATTTTCTGCTTTCCGTGTCCAGTTCAGTAAGCATGAGATGTAATTCGTCCCCTGAGTTACTCATTAGGTCAATGTCATCAGTGAATCACAGGCTACTAAGATACTCTCCGTCAACTGTTATCCCTAACTCTTATCAATCTGTGGCCCTGAAAACCTCCTGTAAACACGCGGTGAATAGCATTGAAGAGATCGTGTCTCCCTGTCTTACACCCTTTTTGGGCGTATTCTGTCGCTTTATTTATGAAGAACTATTGTGGCTGTGGATCCACTGTAGATTTATTCCAGTAAATTACTAACATGACTAGGCAAGAATGGCAGGAAGCGGAAAAATGAAGCTTGCGATGAAAAATCCCTAAGCAGGGGTTGTGCTGAGGCCGACGTTTGGATAAGCGGGCTTGTCTTCCTCAAGGGTAGAACAGAACTATTCTATAGCCTTGAGGAAGACAAGTAAGGTTGTCGAAACGTCAGCTCGACACAACCCATAGTTACGGAATTTTTTACCATGGGTTTAGATATAAGAAAACGCAACGCGACGACACAAACAAGGTGCAAAAATTCAAAAAGGAAGCAAGCGAGAAATAAAAAAGAGAGAAAGAAAGAAACAAACATTAAATGAAAAAATTAAAATAAACGGAAATGAACGGAATGAACACCGAAAACTGGTAAAGAGAACAAGAAAGAGAGGCGGAAAACAAGGAACGTTGTCTAAGCAGCATCGCATTTCAAGGTTCACACGATTAGAACGAAGCTGCCTTATTTTTTTTTTCTTTCGGCTCGGCCAAAAGAAGAAGGGTGTGAGAGGGCTGTAGTCATACTTGCCCGTCCCCACCCCTAATGTAGATACCCGCGTACGCCAATGACAGCGAGGTTTAAAAAAAAAGACAAAGTCAGACATGCAGAAACGATGCTTATGGTACGTTCTTTTTTAAGTTTGCACCGGTGCATTTATCGACCAGTTTGGTCATTTCAGCTAACCCTAAACGAAAGGCGGCTAACGCAGATATCATTGCGTAACACCATTTTTTCGGTAATTCCATCTGCCAACATAGCTGACATCCAGTTAAGGAAATGAAGCTGTGCCGGCCATCTATTGCGCAGGACCGACCACCGGTCACGATTGAAGTAATGGCAAGGTTACCAAATAAGGAATATGCAGTCGAGTGAGATGAAATGACGAAATTAGGAAGTTCGCAAGGATAAAACAGAATCGGGAAGCGCGGGAGAGACATTCGAGAAACAAGAATAACATGAAAGGACGCCTTTTTTTTTCCGTGGCACGGCTCAGCATCTTAAAGGATTGCGACGGGGGAATTAAAGATGATAGAAAAAAAAAAGAATCAGCCCACGCAAGATAGAATTAAGTGGAGTTCACTGGGAGAGCTTTTCGACTTGGTGTGGATTTCAATATGCTAAATATAATTATGATGATCATGAGCAGCATCAAGACATTAAACCTACGATATCTACTGATGTGTGATACCCTACGCATGCGCCATCTGTAGGCGAATATATATATATATATATATATATATATATATATATATATATATATATATATATATATATATATATATATATATATATTTATATATATATCCACATACATTGCGCCAACTATCTTAAGCCAGAGTTTAAAAGTGCGTCGACGCACTCTACGACACCGCAATCAAATGGACGTTGCTTACTATTGCAGGGAGTAAGTCACGCAGTTTTTCTGTTTTCCGCCTTATAGGATACTTAATAATGCTTCATTAATTACCCGTTTAAGAAACGAAACTAGCCAGAAGTTGCATTATTAAAAAATGGAAGAGCGGCTTGCAAAACATTCAATTAGTCGCTTTCTA